AAAAAAAAAAAAAAAAAGTACGACCTTTTGTTCAACACTGGTTAAGAGATTCAATAATATCAAGGCAATGTTACCTTATAGGTGTGACAGTGGCATTGTGTTTATGTTTTAGAGTCCTTTCCTCTTACAGGTGCATACTGAAGATTTACAGACGGAATGATGTCATGTCTTAGATCTGCTTCCAGGAATCAGCACGGGTGGGTCCACTTTGCTAGATACTTGAATTTTGCGGGGGAAAATGTACAAAAAGGAATCTCAGGCATCAGTGAAGGCCCAGGGGCCTCCAGGGAGGGCCCTGTTGTGTCGCCACCAAGGACATTTTGACAGAACGATCAGGTCAGGGCAAACTTGAGGGTTCTCAATTAGTTTGGCCTGGGAACCCTGGCTGTCAGGGAGCTGGCGTGGCTTCTGGAAACCATGGCACCTGAGACATCCTTGAAGGAACAGATGGGGTGGTCTTTGGTTTGGAGGAGGGACTGGGGAAGGGGGGCCAGGGGCAGGGGGTCACTAACGTCCTCAGTTCTTTGCAAGGCTTGCACGCAAAGCGTTCGGACTGGCGCACTTCCAGGGCATAACTCGGGCCGCCTCCGCGGACGTTTCAGGTGTCTGTTGGGCCCGAGCCCTTTCTCCTGGGACACCTTCCAGCAGAAAGGCTGCCCTGGGAGCCAAGCGAGTCCCCTCCCCAAGAACGTGCAGCCGAAGTCTGCAGGCCCCAGGGGCAGAGTTGGACAGGACAGCCTCTTCCGACCCTGAGGTTGGAGAAGGCACCTACCCTCCTCCGGGCCACCTCATGTTTGCCTCCTTTTGGCTTCGGGAGATGCAAAACTGAGTCCGAGCCGGCTTCTTCCCCAGGAAGCCAGGGCAGTGCGGCCAGAGAGACACGCCAGAACTGAACGTAACAGGTGCTTACTAGCGGCATGGGACCGCAAGGAAAGAGTCAATGAGCGTTTCCGGGACAGTGGTTCGCAAAAGGTCTAGGAAGCCTGTGTGGTTTGGAAAGGCAAGTTGCATATTACGGTGTCCGTAATATGTGTTCAGAAAAGACCGCCCCCCCCCCCCCATTTCATGGCATCATGAAGGCGAAGGGAGAAGGACCACCTCGGCCGCTGCTGACGTGTGTGGAAGAGAGCTTTCCTGGCGGGTGGGTGGCCAGCAGCCCTCCTCGTGGCCACTCGGGCCTGGTGTCCCTGGAGGGCTGTCCAGCCTCCACGGCGCCCGCTTGCTCACCTCTGGTGGCGTTGCTGTTGGTGTAGGTGAAGATGCTCGCCCGGGTGCTGTCCTCCAAGCCGGCGTGCGGCTGCCCACCTGCAAGCCTCTGGGGGCCCCACCGCTGGGTCATGGCTCCGGAAAGCCCTGTCCCCAGTGCCTGCCAGCCCTGGCGCTGCTCGGGGGGTCACGGCGCTTTATAGCAGCCCGCGGGATCAGCCGGGGCTTCCTCACCTTAGAAGCTCCCAAACCCTTCCCCACCTGATCTCTTAATTGGGCCCGGGACTTAGACCTCCCCCTCCCCCACCCCCTGCCTCCTGGCTCCTAAGGTGAGCCTGTGAGGGCGGCTCAGAGGCTTTTCTGGGAACCCACTCGGAGTCCTCCGCCTGCTAAGGCGGCTGCAGGAGCTGCCGTGGGCCCTCGCTGGTGTTTACGTGTGCTTTCCTCCCTACTGTGCGGTGCTCGCGCTTAGGCCAGCTGGGCCCTAGTGTCGGCCTTTCCACATTGACGTGTGGGTTAGGGAAGCAGCCCGAGGCCCAGACCTGCCGTTGCCGCGTGGTTCTCCTCAG